AGAAATTAAGAAGGAAATTTAAAAATATCTTGAGACAAATGAAAATGGAAACACAATGTAACAAAATTTATGGGATGCAGCAAAAGAAGTTATAAAAGAAAAGTTTATACCATTAAATGCCCATATAAAAAAAATCTCAAATAAACATCTGAACAATGTATTTCAGGGAACTAGAAGAATAAACTCAACCCAAAGTCAGGAGAAGAAAGGAAATAAAAACCAGAGCAGAAATAAATGAAATAGATACTAGAAAAACAATAGAAAAGAACAATGAAACTACTTGGATTTTTAAAACCATAAAAAGATTGTTAAACCTTTCACCAAATGAGGCAAAAAAAAAAAAGATGACAATAAAATCAGAAATGAAAGAGGAGACATTGCAATTGACACCATAGAAATACAAATAATCATAAGAATCATAAGAGACTATTGTGAATAATTATATTCCAAATAATTGGATAACCTAAGAGAAATGGATAAATTTCTAGACACATACAACCTACCAAGACTTAATCATGAAGAAATGGAAAGCCTGAATAGACCAATAAGTAAGGAGATTGAATCCATAATAGAAAGTCACTCATTAAAGAAAAGTCCAGGACCTGATGACTTCACTTCTAAATTCTACCAAATATTTAGAGAAGAACAATTACCAGTGCTCCTCAATTATTCCAAAAACCTGAGGAAAAGAAAATACTTCCAAACTCATTTTACAAGGCCAGATAAGGACACTACAAGAAAGAAAATTATAGCCCAATATCTCTGATGAACAGATGCAAAAATCCTCAACAAAATACTAGCAAACTGAATTCAACAGCTCTTCAAAGGATCAGAATCAAGTAGATTTTCCCCTGGGATCTGAGGATGGTTCAACATAGGCAAATTAATAAATATAATACCCCATATTAACAGAACGAAGGGCAAAAATCATTTGGTCATCTTGATAGACACACACAAAAGGATCTGACAAATTCAAAAACCTTTCATGATAAAAATTCTCAGCAAAGTAGAATCAAAGCAGGTACCTCAACACAATAAAGACCGCATATGGCAAGACTGTGGCTCACATCATACTCAATAGTGAAATGTTGAAAGCTTTTCCTCTAAGGTCAGGAACAACATGAGGATACCTGCTTTCACCACTTCTGCTCAACATAATACTGGAAGTCCTAGCCAGTATTAAGAAAAGAAAACAAAGCATACAAATAAGAAAGAAAGAAATGAAATTGTCTCTGTTTGTTGATGACATAATCTTATACATAGAAAACACTAGCAATCCCACCCCAGACTGTTGCAAACTCAAACAAATTCAATAAAGTTGCAGGATATAAAATCAACAAGCAAAAAGCAGTTGCATTTCTACACACTAACAACACACCATATAAAAAAGAAATTAAGAAAACAATCCCATTAACAATAACATCAAAACAATAAAAATACTTAGCAGTAAATTTAACCAGAGGCGAAAAATATGTATACGGAAAACTATAAAATGTGATGCAAGAAACTGAATATGACACATATTAAAAGATTATCCTGTGTTCATAAACTGTAAGAATGAACATTGTTAAAATGTCTGTACTATCCAAAGCAATCTACAGATTCAACACAATTCCTATCGAAAAATCCCAATATCATTTTTCATAGAAATAGAAAACACAATCCTAAAGTTTGTATGGAACCACAAAAGACCCCAAATAACCGCAGCAATCCTGAACATAGAGAACAGAGCTAGAAGCATAGCACTATTTGTTTTCAAAACAGATTACAAAGCTAGACTAACCAAACCAGCATAGTGTTCGCATGAATACATACACATCGACCAGTGGGACAGGATAGAGAGGCCAGAAATCAAGCCACGTATTTACGGGGAATTGATCTTAGACTGAGGTGTCAAGAACACACAATAGGAAAGAGCAGTCTCTTCAGTAACTGGTGCTGGGAAAACTAAGTGCAGAAAGATGAGACTGGATCTTTTATTCACACCATATACAAAAATCAACTCAAAATGGATTAGAGGCCCAAACAAAAGACCTGAAACTGTGCAACTACTAGAACAAAACATAAGGAAGAAGCTGCACAACACTGGTCTGGCAATGATTTCTTGGATATCACCCCAAAAGCCTAGGTAACAAAAGCAAAAATAAATGGGATTAGATCAAACTAAAAAGCGCCTACACAGCAAAGGAAACAACAGAGGGGAGACGCAACCCATAGGCTGGGAGGACATATTTGTAAACTCTGTATGTGATAAGGAGCTAGTTTCAAAAATACATTTAAAAATTCAGATACCAGCAAAGGACCTGAATAGACATTCTCAAAAGAAAACATACGTATGGCCAAGAGACACATGAAAAAATGCTCAATATCACAAAGCACCAGGGAAATGCAAATTAAAACTACAAGAGCACTTCATACCTGTTAGAATGGATATTATTAAAAAGATGATCCATTATAATATCCATTACAATATCCCTTCTAACAGGTATGAAGTGATATCACACTTGGTGTTTTGCTGGGGATATGGAGAAAAGGAAGCCTTTGTAATTATGTAATGTAAATTAATACAGCCATTGTTTTAAAAAGTGTGGATGTTCCTCAAGAAACAAAAAATGGAATTACCATATGATCCAGCAATCCCACTTCTGGGTACATTTCCAAGAGAAATGAAATCAACATGTCAAAGAGATGTCTGCACCCCCATGTTCCTGGCATCATTATTTCCCATAAGATACAGAAGCAACCGAAGTGTCCAACCACAGATGAGTGGATAAAGAAAGGCTGGTGTATATCTACAATGAAACACTATTCAGCCTTTAAAAAAGAAGGACACCCTGTCATTTGTGACAACATGGGTAAACCTGGAACACATTATGCTAAGTGAAGTAAGCCGGGGCAGAAAAATAAATATCACAGGGCTTCCCTTGTACGTGTAATCTAAAAATGTTAAATTCATTGAAGTAGAGAGTAGAATGCTGGTTACCAGAGGCTGAGGAAGGGGGTGGGCGTGACAAATGAAGAAATGCTAGTCAAAGGGTACAAAGTTTCAGCGAGGTGGAAGAACTAAGTTCTAGGAAGCCGTGGTGGGGAGATGCTGTGGGAGGGGCTGGGGGAAGCGGCTGTGCTCTTGGTTGGCCAAGTGGAAGCCGATATATCTTGGTCTGTGGGCCTGGCCGAGGCGATGCAGCTCTCCCGGGAGCAGAGAATCACCCTGGCAGGAACGTGGAATCCTGTCCGAGTTCTTCCCATTTGGTATCAACAGCATTTTATTTCAGCACAGCACATACTCATCTGAAGCCTTCACTGGAGTGCAGAGTACAGACTCACCTTGCTTGTAACTACTGATCCTATGCTCATACAGTACCTAAACAATGTGCTCGAGCAACCAAAGGATTGGCTATACAAATGTTCAGTTCATAAACGGGCCACAGTCCTTGCAAATATTGAAAGTCGTGATGTCCTTGAAGGAAGGCACTTTGATACTGAGTGTGACAAGACTGCAAAAGATGACGGTGCACCCAAAGAACAGACAGCACACCCAGAAAAAGGAGGACAGGTAACCCAGAGAAAAGATGACAGTGAACCCAGAGAAAAGACGACAGTGCACCCAGAGAAAGGAGGACAGTGAACCCAGAGAAAAGCCTCAGAAAGCTATCCAGGACAAAATTCATCCAGTGATCAGATGAAGCACAGTTAGTGACATTTCTGCAACTGTTGAATTTTCTTGTTCATTTGATCTATGATTTATGCAAAGATCTGGTTGTACCTGGAAGATGGGAAAGAGTGGGGACCACAGTTCATGACCAGTGTGAGGAAGTTTGCCTTCGTTCATTTACTGCTACATCCACACAGCTCACAGCATGGTGGCCCACAAAATCTTGTCAATGACTACGGATGACATGAGGAAGATAATGTAATTTTCAAATGTGGTTTTCCTGAAACCAAGTCAACTATAGCTGATACGTTTTATTTCACTGCTTAATGTTTACATTAGAAAAACTAGTATTATACTTTACTGAACTATGTGTAATTGTTCCATGTTTTTTGATACCTGTTTGACTTACCATGGGGTTGACATAATGAATTTATTGCACATTGTTCAAAAGGAACCAGGAGGTTTTTGTCAGCACCGTAATGTAAATTCCATTGTAGATGGTAACTGTAGATGGAAAAACTTTTGCTATAAAATGAAATGCTTCCCTAAATCAGACATTTTGGTCCAGTAGCTTGACTCAGTATAGATAGAGAGATATTTAAGTATAAAATACAATGAAAGCAGTCTAAATATTTAGAATCTTGGTTTAGATCCTGAAAGTAACTAATAATCCATAAGCAATGCAGTATTGCTCTACTAGGTCCTTTTCAAATTTATTTCATCATCTAGCTTTCCATATTGAATAAATTTACAGATTTAATTTATATAACTTGAATCTGTGAAGGAACAGATATTTCTACTGTTTAATGTCCTGTGATGCAGAACTCTTGAAAAAATTTTACGTTTTATATAATCAAACTTTAAGCAAAAAATGAAGAAGTAAAGTTAAACATGTTATTATTATTATTTTTTTTTGAGGCAGAGTCTCGCTCTGTCGCCAGGCTGGAGTGCGGTGGCACCATCTCGGCTCACTGCAACTTCCATCTCATGGGTTCAAGCCATTCTCCTGCCTCAGCCTCCTGAGTGGCTGGTACGACAGGCGCATGCCACCACACCCAGCTAATTTTTGCATTTTTAGTAGAGATGGGGTTTCACCACGTTGGCTAGGATGGTCTTGAACTCCTGACCTCGTGATCTGCCTGCCTCGGCCTCCCAAAGAGCTGGAATAAAAGAAGCTCTAGTGATCTATTGCATAGCATGGTGATGACAGTCAATAATAATGTAGTATATATTTCAAAATTGCTAAAATAATAGATTTTCAATGTTTTCTTCACACAAAAAATATGATGCCTGTAAAGTAATGGATAAGTTATTTATCTTGATTCAGTCATTCCACAATGCAAACTTACATCAAAACTCCACATTGTACCTAATAAATATATACAATTACTGTTGGTTGAAATTATTTTGAAAGAGGCAAGATTAAGCTGTTGCAAATAGGGATGCAGAGTGGACGGCACAACTGCGAACAGCAAGGGTCACTGTCAGGGTCAAGAGAGCGACAGCTAACCGTGGCTGGGTGCACAGGGAGACTGCGGGTACAACTGACAAAGCCTATGATCTCAGCCAGGCTTAGGGGTGTGCGCCTGTGATCCCAGCTACTCGAGAGGCTGATGCAGGAGAATTGCTTGAACCTGGGAGGCAGAGGTTGCAGTGAGCTGAGACCGCACGACCCTGGGCGATAGAGTGAGAGTCTGTCTTAAAAAAAAGAAGGCTATGACTTAATGACTTGACATGCATGGAGTTCAGAGAAAAGGCAAGAGACAAAACATGGTCCAGGGAATTTAGACCTGAGACTGGAATGAACACTTTGTTCATTGCCTGTTTTCATGCATTTGTACATTTATACGCTCTCAACCCTGTTCCAGGAAAGATTTAAAGGACGTAAGTAAGAATGCAAGCCCGTCAAGGCTATTCTGATTTTAAATGTCAGTTCAGCTCCTACTTTCTGGGGTTTGGCAAATCAAGTTAAGGGCCTTTTCCTCAAATGCTCAAACATTCCGATCAGACTAAAGCAAGCAACTGGAATCACTTGAAAGCCAGAGACCAGATTCCATTCTCCCTCCGTTTTTTGAAATCGTCACTTCTTTATCACCAGCTGGGTTTTGATGACTCTTCAGGTGTAAAGGTCAACCTCATAGAAATGGGAAAACCTGTGTTGTTAGGAAGGATGGTTTTAAGTGAGCATTTGAAGTTTTAGGGCAAGAATAGCCTCGGGCCATCTGTCAGGAAAAGCTGCCACATCTGGGCAGTGTCTCTCCTAGGGTGAAACGTGCGCAGATTACACTGAAGTAATAACGAGCTCACGTAGAGCCTGGGACGAGACAGAAAATTTATAGGCACGGCATGTGCCTTCGGTGCCCGGGCTATGGAGGAAAGAACACAGACGGTCTTCCTGAGGCGGGGCAGACGAAACCGCTGAAAGTGAAGGAGAATTAAGGCGATACACGGTGGTCATTCAAAAAGCCTCACACTTCCCCTCCTAGGAAGATGGAACAGGCGTGCGTTTTCCTCCTTCCCGCAGGTGCAACCGGAAACCTCGGGCAGGGCCCGTCAAACAAACGCAGGAAGACCGGGGCGGAGAGAGGAAGCCCCGGGGATCTGGGGGACCCTGAGAACGACAGGATGGGGCGTTCCTGGGTTTTCTTTTTGACTCTTCCACCCCAAACTGGGTGTTCACGAGGACGCAGAGGAAGACAGCCCCCGCTGCTGTCTCCAGCCAGAGCACTGGGAGAGGCGCGGCTCCAGGAAGTATTTCAAGGACCCTGGGAAATGGGTGATCTCGGACTGTGAAAAACCTTCAGGAGACTGGAAGTGTTTTGAAGTTGAAGGTTATGGTTCTTTCTCATTTTGTTTCAAAACAGGTCCCCCATTTCCCTTACTGTAGGATTCGAGGAGACAACCAGAGGAGGAAAGGGGTGTCAGGGTCAGAGCCGCCTAGAAGGCGACGAGAAGCAGAAGCGCAGGCCTGCGAGGTGCTCTTCAGAGTGACTTCGCTGTGGGCCGCGGAAGGCAACAGAAGGAACTCGGCTTCCACTGGCCACGTTCCCCTCCCCGGAGCGCAGGACACAGCCCGGTTTCTTCAGGCGGCGGCTCCAGCCAGCTCCGCCCCACAGGGAAGCAGCGCGCAGCTCCCACGCCCCGCAGGCGGCGCAGAAGACTCCGCCTTCCCGGAGCGCAGGCGTGTGGGGGGCGCCGCCCTCGTCGCCGTCGGGAGCCCCGCAGGCCCGCGGCCGTCTGCCTGGTTCTCCCGCCTCTGCAAGCCTCGCCTTCAGGACTCCGCCTCGCCGTCCTCTTTTCTGTCGGGAGACTCACGGGGCCGTCTGTCCGGACGACGTGTGCACATTTCTCACCACGATTCCTCTGCACACCAGGTCCCGGCACCGCCGCGCTGGGGTCGGCACAGCTGAATTGTGCGGGCAGCGAGGGGGCCTCAGGGGGACCGCTCAGCTCCCTGAGGGCGCAGCCCTCCTGGTCCGGGGCGAAGAATGAACTTCCTCCGCGGTTTTCAGTGACCCAGTTTGTGGCACGGCACATGCTGAAAAGGTAAATGTGACCGCGTTACCTCAGAGATGGGCCGTGAGCGGCTTTGTGCCGCCAAATGACCTGTTTGCCCAACAGCGCCCCCTGTAGCCCGGTGCTCAGAACGGGCTTTTCCATGACGTTCCTACATTGTGTTTACAGCGCTCTGTGAGGGGTTTGCACGCACAGGCCGACCTCGTTTTATTGCGCCTTGCTCTATTGTGCCTCGCAGATACTGCACTTGTTTTTACAAATTGAAAGTTTGTGGGAGCTCCGTTGGGGCACATGAATGGGTCCCATTTTCAAACAGCTTGTGCTCACTTCATATCTCTGTGTCACATTTTGGTAATTCTTGTAATATTTTGAATTTTCTCATTATGATTATGCCTGTCATGGTGATCTGTACTTAGTGATCTTCGATTTTACTTTGTAATTGTTTTGGGGAACCAACAACCACACCCAGGTAAGACGGAAAACATAATAAATGTCAGGTGTGTTCCATGTGCTCCACTGACCAGCTGCCCCCATCTCTCTCCCTCCCCTCAGGCCTCCCTAGTCCCTGAGACACAATTGTGGAATTACACCATTAATAACCCACAATGGCCCCTAAGTGTTCAAGTGAAAGGAAGAGACACACATCTCTCACTTTAAATTGAAAGCTAGAGATGGTTAAGCTTAGTGCAGAAGGCCTGTTCAAAGTTGAGATAGGCTGAAAGCAAGGCCTTTTGCACGCAGGAGTTAGCCCAGTTGTGAATGCAAAGACAAACCTCTTAAAGAAAATTAAAAGTGCTGCTTCCGTGAACACATTAATGACAAGAAAGTGAAACAGCCTTATTGCTGATATGAAGAAGGTTTGAGTGGTCTGGATGCAAGATCAAATCAGCCACAGCATTCCCTCAAGCCAAAGCCTACTCCAGAGTAAAGCCCCAACTCTCTCCAGTTCCACAAAGGCTAAGAGGAGTGAGAAAGCTACAGAAGAAAAGTTGGAAAGTGGCAGAGGTTGGCTCATGAGGTTTAAGAAAATAAACCATATCCATAACATAAAAGTGCAAGATGAAGCAACAAGTGCTGATGGAGAAGCTGCAGCAAGTTATCCAGAGACCTAGTGAAGATAAGTGATGGAGGTGGCTACACCAAACCACAGATTGTCAGTGTAGATGAAACAGCCTTCTCTTGGAAGAAGATGCCATCCAGGACTTTCATAGCTAGAGAGGAAAAGTCAATGCCTGTCTTCAAAGCTTCAAAGGACAGGATGTCTCTTGTTAAGAGCTAATGCAGCTGGTGACTTAAACTTGCGGCCAATCTCATTTAGACCTCGTTTTATTGCGCCTTGCTCTATTGTGCCTCGCAGATACTGCACTTGTTTTTACAAATTGAAAGTTTGTGGGAGCTCCGTTGGGGCACATCAATGGGTCCCATTTTCAAACAGCTTGTGCTCACTTCATATCTCTGTGTCACATTTTGGTAATTCTTGTAATAGTTCGAATTTTTTCATTATAATTATGTCTGTCATGGTGATCTGCACCTAGTGATCTTCAATTTTACTTGGTAATTGTTTTGTAACCAACAACCACACGCAGGTAAGACGGAAAACATAATAAATGTCACCTGTGTTCCACGTGCTCCACTGACCAGCTGCCTCCATCTCTCTCCCTCCCCTCAGGCCTCCCTAGTCCCTGAGACAATTGTGGAATTACACCATTAATAACCTACAACGGCCTCTAAGTGTTCAAGTAAAAGGAAGAGACACACATCCCTCATTTTAAGTCGAAAGCTAGAGATGATTAAGCTTAGTGCGGAAGGCCTGTTCAAAGTTGAGATAGGCTGAAAGCAAGGCCTTTTGCACCCGGGAGTTAGCCCAGTTGTGAATGCAGAGAAAAACAAAGGAAATTAAAAGTGCTGCTTTAGTAAACACATGAATGACAAGAAAGTGAAACAGCTTTATTGCTGATTCAAAAAAGGCTGAGAGGAGTGAGAAAACTATGGAAGAAAAGTTTGAAAGTGGCAGAGGTTGGTTCATGAGTTTTAAGGAAATAAACATGTCCATAACTTAAAAGTGCAAGATGAAGTAACAAGTGCTGATGGAGAAGCTGCAGCAAGTTATCCAGAGACCTAGCTAAGGTAAGTGATGGAGGTGGCTACACCAAACCACAGGTCGTCAGTGTAGATGAAACAGCCTTTTGTTGGAAGAAGAAGCCATCTAGGACTTTCATAGCTAGAGAGGAGAAGTCAATGCCTGTCTTCAAAGCTTCAAAGGACAGGATGTCTGTTGTTAATAGCTAATGCATCTGGTGACTTAAAATTGCAGCCAATCTCACTTGCCATTCCAAAAATCCTAGGGCCCTTAAGAATTATGCTTAATAGGGAGGCTGAGGTGGGTGGATCTCCAGAAGTCAGGAGTTTGAGACCAGCCTGACCAATATGGAGAAACCCTGTCTCTACTAAAGAAAAAAATACAAAAAATTAGCCAGGCATGGTGGTGGGTGCCTGTAATCTCAGCTACTTGGGAGGCTGAGGCAGGAGAATCACTTGAACCCAGGAGGTGGAGGTTGCGATGAGCCAAGATCATGCCATTGCACTCCAGCCTGGGCAACAAGAGTGGAACTCTGTCTCAAAAAAAAAAAAAAAGAATTATGCTAAATCTATTCTGTCTTTGCTCTATAAGTAGAATAAAAAAGCCAGGATGGCAGCACATCTGTTTACAGAGTGGTTTACTGAATATTTTGAGCCCATTACCAAGACCTACTGCTCAGAAAAAAAGACTATTTTCAAAATATTACTGTTCATTGGCAACGCGCCCAAGGGCTCTGATGGAGATGTGCAAGGACAGTAATGTTGCTTTCATGCCTGCTAACACCACATCCATTCTGCAGCCCATGGATCAAGGAGAAATTTCAACTTTCAAGTCTTGTTACTTAAGAAATACATCTCATAAGGCTATAACTGCCATTGATAGTGATTCCTCTGATGGATCTGGGCAAAGTTAATTATAAACCATCTAGAAAGGATTTACCATTCTAGATGCCATTAAAAACATTCATGATTCATGGGAGGAGAAACAATATCAACATTAACAGGAGTTTAGAAGAAGTTGATTTCATTCCTCATGGATGATTTTGAGGGGTTCAAGCCTTCAGTGCAGGAAGTAACTGCAGATGAGGTAGGAATAACAAGAGGATTAGAATTAGAAGTGGGGCCTAAAAATGTAGCTGAATTGCTGCAATCTCAGGATAAAATTTGAACAGATTAGGAGTGGCTTCTTATGGTTGAGCAAAGAAAGTGGTTTCTTGAGACAAAATTGACTCCTAATGAAGATGCTGTGAACATTATTGATAGGACAACAAAGGATTTAGAATATATATACTTAGTTGATGAGGCAGTGGGTAGGGTTTGAGGGGATTGACTCCAATTTTGAAAGAAGTCATACTGTGGGTAAAATGTTATCAAACAGCATCGCATGCTACAGAGAAACCTTTCATGAGAGGAAGATTCAATCAATGCAGTCAACTTCATTGTGGTCTTATTTCAGATATTGCCACAGTCACCCCAACCTTCAGCAACCTCCACCCCGATCAGTCAGCAGCCATCAACATCCAGGCAAAGCCCTCCACCAGCAAAACAATTGTAACTCACTGAGGGCTCAGATGATCATTAGCATTTTTAAAAACAATACAGTATTTTAAAATTGAGATATGTTCATGTTTTAGACATAATGCTATTGCACTCTTAATAGACTACAGTATAACATAAACCAAACTTTTATAGGCACTGGGAAAACGAAATACTTGTGTGATTTGCTCTGTTGCAATATGAGCTTTATTGTGGTGGCCTGGAACCAAATCCACAGTATCCCCAAGGTCTGCCTGTAAGGTGAGGCAGCAGCCCCAGAAACTAATGCAGCCTGCCGGGTGCTCTGTGTTCCCAGCAAGCAAGGACACTTCCCTAGATATCAGGGGAAGTGATACAAAGACAGAAAGTTGTGGTCATTTGAGAATCAACTCATAATAAAAAATAATGAAATATGGTTAATTGAAGTAAGTTGATTACAAATTGAAAATGATATTAGAAGAAAGAAGTTTTATACAAAGATGGTTGTGATACAAAAGAATATAATGACACATTTAATTTTATTGCCTTGAATAAATGAGGAATGTGGTTTTATTCCTTCCATTGTCTGCTTCTAAAGTATAGATATAAACTTTGTCTATCTGCAGTTGCAGATAAGAAACCTGGGAAGCCACAAGAAAGCCAAGTAGCCTAGGAAAAAGTGAGCATTGAGCCACGAGCAAAAAATAACAGTCGATCCTGTTGGTGCCACCTGACAGCAGAGACAGCTGAGGACCCCCGAGCGTGAGTCCAGAGAGCTGCCCGGCAGCCCCACCCTGCCTTTCCAGGATGAGTCTTCTCTGGGAAGCCACTGCTCATTCGGAAGGTGAAGAATGCCAGCGTTTCCAACACCAACCCCAGCTCTGCTGACCTCTCAGAACGGCAGGACCACGTGTGACGGAACACCAGGCAGGGGAGAGTCAAATATACAAGGCGGGACGCCAGGCAGGGCCAGCATCTCCATGAGGCACATGAGGGCCCACGATACTTTTAGGAGCCCATGAAAATGTTTTAATTTCTCTTAAAAATCAGAAGGAAACAAATGAACTCTTAGGTGTAAGAAAATGTTTTAATATACACGATTGATATATCCACCTTCATACAAATGCAGTAACAAAACTTACATGTTTAAATTTTTTAATGGAAAAAAGCTCCCACAAAGGCAATGACAGTCATGATGTGGCCTGATCCCAGGTTGCAAAAAACTAAAACTTCTGTGAACTGCGTTCATTAGAAACACAAGAATGCTAATGTAGCATGTCAGGTTTAACCATAAAGGTTGAGTATGATGTCCAGTGCCTTGAGTTTAAAATGCCGGAGGAGGAATAACCAGTGAATAACACAGTTCCCGCTGTCACACTCACACCCATAGCAAGACGAACCACAGGATTTCTGTTTTTCTTTTTAAAGCAGGGAAACAAGTAAAATACAATATAGTAATTATAGTAATAATTATAGTAATAATTGTACAATTATAGTAATAATTGTAGGAAAATGTAAAAAATATAGAATAATGAGAAAATGGTTAATGCTGTAGAGTAGGTTCAAATTGGAGGTCTGTAAGAAGTCGGTGATAATCTGAATTGTTTGGTTCTGTCTCTTGTATAAAGTATTTGTTCAAAAATATCAACCATTCTAAACCTATAATTGCAGTATTAAGAAAACTTAATTAGAATCAATCTTTAAGTGCTCAAGAAAAGGTAGTTTCAAAGGTGAATTTGATAAACTGAGCATCAGACAGAGTCGTCAGTTTTGGGAGTCAGCCTCTATGTTGAAATCCCTTTCACTTTAGCACCAGTAATCAGAGTTCACGAGGCCACTCTCCACATTCTCACCTCTTCGTTTACTCCAGAGCCTCCGAGGCTCCACTCTCCACTCTAGCTGCTGGAGAGCGAAGGTGAAGGTGACTGAGCTCCATCCTCAATGTGTTGTCTAGGTGGGGACAGGCAGGTCTGCAGGTCATTGGGATACAGTGTGAGGAGGACATGAGGAGTGCAAGGTTCAGTGAGCACTTGGGGGCCTTAGCCTGGGGGTGGGGGAGGGTGAGCCAAGGAGTGTTTGCGGAAGGAACGATGAGTCAGAAGAAGTCGGGTTAACCTAAGGGAGGGCCTTCTGCATGATGTGGGCTGTGGGGAGCAGGAGAGAAGAGGCGGGAGAGGCTGCACCTGATGGCGATGAAACTTGGGGCCCATGCTCTGAGAGGACCTGTGCTCCTTAGGAAAACATGGAGCCCTGCAGGACTCCACGTGCAGAGAGAGGAGGGCTCCATCCAAGACTCCCTTCAGGAGCAGCACCTGGGTGGAATGGACGGGACGCCTCTGTCCTGCTCCCTTCTCATCCATCCATCCCTGAGCCGTGCAGGGGATGAAATGTCACCCACTTAGGGAAAAGGAAGTGGGGGACAGCTGAAGATTTTTTCCAAGGTGGCAGTTAGACAGTGGCCCAGATGGGTGTGACTCACCCCATTTCCCAGCCCTTTATACTCTGTCATTGTTTTGTGATGGTCTTAATGCTACCTTTTTGAACAAGTAAATGTGCTTGTTTACAATTTGTGCATAAATGTGCCTGCAAATAGGTTAATAGAGACCCCTCCTCAAAATTAATGTAATAAATATAATCAGATTGTACATCTAATAAGAAGCCTTTGGGAGATTGTTAAGAACTAAAAGTAAATTCTGACTTTTTGCAAATCAGTATGAAATGTTGTTTTAATAAGCTTGTACTGATTTCCAATATTGCAGAATGTATATTCCATGAAGGGCTTCCCGCACATGGAATGTATTAATTCCATGTGCACACTGAATTAATCTTATTTGGATGACAGATTTTGCACCCGTCACTACTGGAGAGTGTACTGCAGATGATATTTAATGAAAACTTCCAGTCAGGCAGGTGATCTGATGCCTGCGCATGGCTTCCTGATAAAATTGCGTGTTTGTTTCTTCCCCGATCTCCCACAGATAAAGAGAAGTGCATTTTTTCAGTACAGCCGTGTATCATTTTGTTTGCTTCAGTGACAATTTTTAGTGTAAGCTGATTTAAAACAATCAAAGCAATAGGCAAGTCCATTCTTTCAGCCAAACCCAAAATAGCTTTTTAATAATGGATTTGTTTTGCCGGTTATGCCTGACAAATGCCTCGCATTGCTTTAGCATTCATCTGAAAACAAAAGGCCTCCATCCACTGCAATCGTAGAGACTTCCTTTTTTTCCTTCAAAGCCAGATAGCACATGGTTCTTGAGTTACTATAAATAGCATTACCAAATATTGAGGACTACGATGATGCGTGCACAGTATTAAGGTTAAAATAATTCCTGGCACTAAAATATGGTATCGTAGTCCATAAAAACATGAGTACATACTTGAAAAAATTAAAAAACTGTGCATCTTCTGATAAGATTTTCAAGAAATTATCTCTTTCCAAAATCATGTTTGGGGCATCCACATTTCAGTATAAAAATTAGATGAATGCCAGTCTGCTTTTGTATTTCTAGGTGGCCTGCAAAACAACAAAAGAAGTAAGTAACTGGTTATCATTTTATATTGGGATTTTAAAAATCTCAAGTTTCAGGAGGCAACATGCTCCCCAGGCTGTGACAGGCCATGATAACTGCACTATTGGAGCCCTGACCTGACTTGGACGCCACTTGAGTATCCTTGTAGTGACTAGAATTGTCTCCCTCTTGTCCCAGTGAGGACAGGGGTGTCGGTGAGCAGAGGTG